ATAATGCAATGTTTGTTTGCAATAAAGCAAAAAGCAACACAATGGGCTATCAGTGCTCTGCCTACCACGGGTATCGAAACCCGATTTTTAGCGTTGTAAATCCGAAGACATACCGCTGTGCCACTGGGGGGCCACATAATGCAAGTATGTAACCACCAGACCATGCCAGACTCATTTCAAGGAGAGTGAAACAAATATTAACGAAAATAGATAATTCAGATAATATAGAAGGTTACTCTAAGCGGTTCCGTGCTAAGATTCAGAACTCGTAATGCTAAAATTCGGGGCTCGATATCAGCGTTGTGGTTCATTGTTTAGTTTTCGCTCAACAAAAAAAACAACTTTAAATCTTTAAAATTTCATGGTTCACGATACTTCAAGACGTAGGTTTTCAAGAGAAATTTTGAAATTAGCACACGTCGAGTCTTCTTGATTGAAGTAATATAATGAATTTTCAAAATTGTCACATCACAGACAACTTTTCTGTGAGGACTTTTAAGATCGGAAAATATAGCATGTATTTCAGTATGATATCCAGCTTAATTAATTCAAAATGGCGCAACACAGAAGTCTATTCAATTCTGGTATATTATGTGAGCAAATGTTCATCATTACGTAATGCACGCGTATTATCGATAAATATATGTTACCTTCACGGTTTACAAACTTTATTAAGGGTGAAGTCTGGCGACAATAAGACGTTTCTCAATTTCTAAGCTGATTTGTTTTTATTTCTAGGAAAACTTGAAATATATATTTCTGTGCAACACGTTTCTCTTACGTTTACTGAGTTGGAAAACATTATTAGAGATGAACCTGTTTTTTGTTTGTTTGTTGTTAAGCACAAAGCTACACATTGGGCGTGTGTTCACCACGGATATCGAATCTCGGTTTTAGCGAGCGCTATAAGCACACAAACTTCTATTGAGCCACTGGGAGGCGTGAAATTGCCAGACGTCCCTTATTATGCTCAATATAAGTGTCTCGTGGCAGACATTTTCTAAGTAATTTCACATTTATTGTGTTTTACACAATAAACACAATAAAGAAAGTTTTTTTTTTTTCGTAGTGAATTGTTATTTCTTTAATTTTACAGTTCAGGCATTTGTTATTTGATGACACCGTATACTCTTAGTGTCGAAATTATTCTCTCTCTCTCTCTCTTTCTTTTATTGACATGCGCTAACAAAAAACGGAATATTTTTCGAGTTGATGAATCGCATCCTTTGTTTTCCGATGCTTCGAACACATTTCATAGTTTGTCGAATTAATGCATAACGCATGCGTTAGTAAAATAAAGGAGACGTATCCTCTCACAAATAGTGATTTTCCTGCATTTATACAAGAAATATTCAAAGTTACCTAATTATTCTTAAATTCACTTTCATATTTTCAATAGCTTTATCGTTCATTTGCATAAATGTTACAAATTACGTAATGTGTTCATTGTTGGGCTGTGAACTCAAATGTTTATACATAAACTTGCTTTGTATTTGGTAAGTACGTTAATCAAAAGACTTATTTAACATCCATTTGTCTTTGATTCTTCCTAGAGCCACCTAGTGGTAGATTGAACATTACCCTGTGGACAATTAGTATTCTTAAATCGATGGCCTGTCATACTTCATGTTCGAGATGATATTTATAACAAGTGAAAGACAGCATTTTTCAAACAACAAATTGAAAAAAATTTTTCGAATGATAGTACCTCAATTTTTAGGGTTAAGAGTGACGTCCAAATTCCAGTTTTCGATTAGAGCAGCCCAATAGTTTATTGGATCTGATAATACCCAATATATTAAGCTGGGATGAGTTATAAGAATGACAATCAGTGGCTCAGTGTGTATGGTGGGTAGTAGGGTGCTGTCAACTGGCTACCCTCCCTTTGGTCAGTAGTTCAAAATTAGGGACGGCGGTGGATAACCTTAGCAGCTGTGTCATAAATATAAAAACTCTCGAAATTTTCTCCATGAACGTGATTTTGGGAACAAGGAGGATGAAATTTATATATGTAGTTAAAAGTGGGACCTGCGTTTCCCTCCGATCCCTCTCAATTGGATAAACGTTGTGTTACTTATCTTATATAGTTATTTGTACACATTAGCTCATTTCGATTGCTAATTCACTCACTTAATTATTTATGTGAGAATAGTGATTTTCCTGCATTTATACAAGAAATATTCAAAGTTACCTAATTATTCTTAAATTCACTTTCATATTTTCAATAGCTTTATCGTTCATTTGCATAACTGTTATATATAATTCTTGTTTCAGTTCCGTCAACGCATCAATACGCTCTCTCTAGTGGGTTATAGCATCTCACTGGTGGCGCTAGTGATTGCTTTAATAATATTTTCCTATTTTCGGTAGGTAATGTTTATATTTAAGTAAGCTTTATAAAAGTGTTTGTACCTTGTTAGTTTTTTTGTTTTTTTTGCCGATAGTCTAAACTCGGCAACGACCATTTTTGGCTGCCCATTTACAGAGTTGATTAGAAATACCAAACACATGTGATATAACGTATGTTTTTATTGACTGTCAATGGAGATAAGTATTGTCTTCAACGACGATTAGACTTCCTATAACGTTTGTTTGTTTTAGATACTATTTCTCACATTTTTACGTATAAAATAATATTTCAATATTACTAGAACAAAACAAAAGCTACTTAATTGACTGAATTAATTGCTGTATGTTAATATTTAAGGATGTTAAAGTATTGCCTTATATAGTAGTGTTAAAAAACTGTGTTATATTTTGAAGAGTGTTGAAATGTTACAGTAATGTTAAAAGTGTTGAAATGTCACATTAATGTTAAGAGTGTTGAAATGTTACATTAATGTTCAACACCTTAAACATTATCCTATAATGTTTAAGGTGTTGAGGTGTTATATTTTAATATTTAAGGTGTTCAATTGCTGTAATCTAATTTTTGAAGGTGTTGAAGTATTATATTTTAATGTTTAATGTGTTAAAGTGTTGTAATCTAATGTCTGGGGCATTAAAGAGTTATATTTTAATGTCTGGGGTGCTGAAGAAGACTTGTTTTTTTTATGTTCAAGGACATTGAAGTGCACAAGGACAACAATTCACAAGCATCTGTTTCTGTCATTTATCCTGTCCAACATGCTTTGGGTGGTGTGGTACACAGCGGTGACCCAGAGACCCGTAGTAGCCAGCAAGAACAAAGTAAGTTTAGTGGATATCATGTAACGCCCAAGAGAAAACTGTCCGTAAAACTAGTCATCTGTGAGATTAATTAAGAGTAGTATAAGTATTGGTGGTAAGTTTTGTAGACTTTGGCCCCCCAGTGGCACAGCGGTATGTCTGCGGAGTTACAACGCTAGAATCCGGGTTTCGATACCCGTGGTGGGCAGAGAACAGATAGCCCATTGTGTAGCTTTGTGCTTAATTACAAACAAACAACCGTAGACTTTGTGCAAGCTTTTCTTCAGCTCTTGTGCTTGAATTTTTCTTGCACACATGGTTATTCTATTTTGTTCAGAGTATCGCAATATTTCTTATTAATCAAGTCTTTGATGTTCATCTCAAAGTACTCGTAATGGTTTACTGTAATTTTCTTTATTGGAAAATTTGAACAAGCTAAGTGCCATATAATCTACGTTTCAGATGACATGTCGGATCATCCACGTGCTTGTTCGCTACCTTCTGGTATGTAACTACATGTGGATGTTTTGTGAAGGCCTCTACTTACATACAGTCCTAGCAGTTGCATTCTTAGCCGAAGACAGGCTCATCAATTGGTTCTTCGGGATTGGTTGGGGTAGGTCACATTACCACTTTAGTTAGATATTTTAAACTTATTCTTTTACATTATTTGTTAGCTTATAGAAGTTATGTTCTGATCCTCACATTGTTAGCTTATATTTTTATTCGTTAAATCTGAAACTTTTTTTGTAATTTTTATTATAATTATAATAAGATTACTTTATTCAGAATCATATGTTTTATGTTGGTTAAAGTACTAATTTAACTGTAAAGCTCATTCAGATTTAATAAATGTACATGGTTGAGTACGCCGTATTAAAACGATTTTGAATATGCACGTCAGCAAATTACGTACACTAGAGCCGAGATAAAGTGTTGGTGGAATAGAATATATCAGAACTATATTTGGACATTGCTTATCGCGACACAGGTAGTGAAGCGCCGCCGAAAATCGATTGCAAAATATTCATATATTCAGATCGTAAAAATGTATTCAGATAGGGAATTTAGAATTTCCAAGATGGAGATATCCCCAGTATATCATGGTATTGTAACACAAAGGAATATGGATCAACTTAGGGTACTAGAATCATCCAGAAAGACAAATATAACAAATCGAAACCCAGTTTGAAACAGGGTAGGATCCACAAATTCAAAAGTCAGTGGCAAAATCTGTCCACGCGTCAACACGCAACTTAATTAAGAAAGGTCTATGCCTACAAAACAACACAAGTCACGTGAACGCAAGTTGTTTTCACGACATATATGTTCAACCATCACATATCACAAGCAGTTGAAGAATGAAATGGGTATTCATGCTATTCATATGAAGACATACCGGTGAAGTTGCCTATGGACATCTGTGCAATTGGACTGTTGAAACGGTCGCCGGGAAGTCGTCGTCTTTCTACACTAGATAGCTTATGGAAAGTATGCTGGGAGGACTGGTGGGCTTTTGAGATGACAGACTTACGACGGATCTTTTTATAATGAAAAGTATATTGTAAGGCTATTGTCAAGATGTACAGTTATATCAGATAGAACATGACCGGACGTGACGACATGGTGATGTTTGAAATACAACGTACTCAACGTCTTTAATAAGGAATTTCATTGCATTTTTTTGTGTTCGAACTCATCCTGTCTTTTCTAAAATAATATTTATTTTGTGTTATAAAATTCTAGTTCTTCAAAAAAGTATAATGAAATTGTGATGAACTATTATTTTTCTTTTGTGCTCATTTAGTTTGGACTTTTTTGACATTTTTATCATTTAGAGCTAATTTTTTTTTTTCCAAACAAATAAAATTTTTTTTAATGATAAGCAAAAATAGGAAAATAATATGAAACTAAAAAAAAACAACACTCCTTCAATAAATTGGTTTATTTCTTAAAAACAAATTAGACTCACACCAAAGTTCCCCGTATTTTAAAATAATATTTGCCAATTTTGCATTTTCTTTCTTTGCTGTAAATTTCCCTATGATCATTTTGATATTAGTAAAGTTGCAAAAACAAACGTCCAGTTTTAGTAAAGTTCAGTTCTTTGACTCAATCAAACCTTGACTGTTCGAAAAATATAATTTCATCTGTAAAATTATGATCGCAAAAAATGTTTTTTTTGTAAGAAAAATTTTTTAAATCAAATTTTGATCGAAAAAGGAAGATGTTGTAAAATGTATATTTGTGTGTTATTTATTCTCTAACAGCGCTACTTTAACTCACCCAGAATCGCAATCCATTATTTCTGTTGGTTTACACAACCTGGTCCCCCGGTGGGACAACGGTAGGGGTTTACGGACTTACAAGTTTAAAATCCGGGGTTTGATTCTCCGCTGTGAATACAACAGATAATCCATCTTAAGTGCCTTTGCTCTAAAACAAACAAACAAATACATACTGAGAAATTTCATTGTTTTTCACACTCTTTTTCCTATTTCATTTTAAGTGAGCAAAAAAATAATTAAATAGGCTCTTTACAGCAATTTTTACTTTCTCCTGCGTAACTTTTGTCATTAAGCTTTACTTTCAGCCGTGAGGCAGTTATAATGTGACAATCAATCCCACTATTCATTGGTAAAGAGGAACCCAAGAGTTGGCGACGAGAGCAGCCGGCTGATTGCCTTCTCTTTTACCGGCAGTTAAAAATTGGGGACAACGGTAGATAGCTTTAATATCTTATCATAAACGAACCATTGGTGTTTTTTATGTTTACTGAGTTCGTTCTAAAAATATACTTTTTTTTCGTATCGGCTCGGCATGGCCAAGTTGTTTGGGTGCTTGACTCGTAATCTGAGGGTCACGGGTTCGAATCCACGTCCCATCAAACATGCTCGCCCTTTCAGCCGTGGGGGCGTTATAATGTGACGGTTAATCCAACTATTCGTTGGTAAAAGAGTAGCCCAAGAGTTGGCAGTGGGTGGTATGATTAGCTGCTTTCCCTCTAGTCTTTCATTGCTAAATTAGGGACGGCTAGCGCAGATAGCCCTCGTGTAGCTTTTCGCGAATTTAATTAAAAACAAACAATTAACCTCAACCATAATGGTTCTGCCCTTTGGTATTATTTTTCTTTACTACTTTAAAGTAATCCAGCTTAATTAAAAATTGGGTTTTAATGTTTTCGAATCATACCAACCATTTATATAAACCATCTCTTTAAATGTCAATAAATGTTATAGAATGATAAGATACCACATAGCTGATAAGAATAAAAACTATTCTGCCTGAAACGATAATGAAATTAACTTTAACCATGGGATAGTTCCCGAACTTTCAGGTATTATTAAAACAGTCTCATTAACTTTATTGCCAAAAGCCTTACTCAAAACCTAATACACAATTTTACGTTGTATAATCGGATTATTTCCGAACAACATGTACATATACACGTGCTTTTGAATCACGCCCACACACGTGCAAACAACAAAAATATTTTCGATGGTATGGCGTCTTCTTACTCTCCCGAGGATTAACTTTCCTGTCGAGTGTGATATACGAAATTTAATTGAAATCTCGCCTAATAAAGGAATCTTAAAAATGATGCATTTTTAAAACGCTCAGTATTTGCCTAATCCTATAAAAATCTTTATTTGTATTCATTTTCTTTGGTATCATTCTCATTACAAAGAATACTCAATTTTTTTGATTTTCAGTATTGCATTTTACAAATGAGAATAATTCAGACTTTGTTAGCCCTTGCAGCATCGCTCCCTCCCGGTTCCCCATGGTGAACAGAAAAATAACACCATCATTATTATCGTTTAAAGCTAATTTAATGTTACGGTTTATACCTTTATAATTTTGATATGGAATTGTTCTGATGTAGGAATATACAGCTTCAAGGAATATATGAACCCCGAATTATTATCTTAAACTATTTCGTGTTATTCTTTAAAAAGAAAGATTTTACAACATATTTGCTTTTCGCATTCACTTCTTTTATCGAATTATAATTTTATGAAATTAAGCAATTGTAATAACGTATAAAACAAGAACAAGCACTGTATAATTAGATACTTTAAAATACTTTATTAAAACAGTTTCATAGTTACGTTAAAAAAAAAAAAGATTCCCGGTAGGATAGCGGTTAGTTTACGGATTTATAACGCTAAATCCCGGGGGTTCGATTCCACGGACACAGCAGACAGCCCAATGTAGCTTTGATCTAAAACAAACAAGCAAGCAAACAAGTTTAAAGAATATTATAGCAAAGGAAATAACGGTAAAGTTGAAAACTCTGCCTCTAGCTAAAGAAACACAAACCACAGAATGATTAGAGACTTTAAATTATATTATCAAAATAGCTGCATAATTACACTTTAAAGTAAAACTAAGAGAACGATACAAAAGATGAAACCTCTGTCCCCGTACCAAAGATAAGTCATGTCAAATGAATAGCTTCTATCAAAAATATGACTACATATTTAAGAGATGAACAAATTCAAGTACAGAAGATTGAATACGTTATATTAAAACGGATTTGAATAAACATATCAGCAAGTCACATGACAACCACAGCCAATTAAAAGTCGCGGTGGAAAAAACATGTATCATAACTACATTTCTAGATTATTTGGTGTGTCGTGAATAGCAAGATGCCACCGAAAATTGATTACTTTTGGGAAGAGTGTGTAACAGTTCTTTCCGATTCAAAATATTCATATACTCAGATTATACAGATGTGTTTAGACCAGGGATTTAGAATTTCCAAGACAAGGATATCCTTTGTCCCTTAATAGCATTGGAAAACATAGAAATATGGATCAACTTGATGAACAGGACAATCCAGAATGAGACATGCATAAAGTCGTGCCCTAGATGTGGTAAGCAAGATGCAGCGTCGTAGAACAGGTGGAAATCCACGAACACAAAAGTCAGTGGTAAAACCATACACGCTTATTTGTTCGTTTGTTTGTGCTATCTGCGCTTTGTCAACCACGGGTATCAAAACCCGGTATTTTGCTGAGTCACTGGGATACACCCTCCACATATTCCACGTAACAGCACATTTCTATATATGAACCATTATATCCTTCAACGTTCGCAGCACATACTTCAAGCAGCTGGAGAATGAAATGGGTATTCATGGTATTTCTGTAGATTTCTGTGTGGTCGGATTGTTGAAACGGACGTCGGGAAATCGTTTTCACAGATAATTGATGGCTTATGGAAAGTAGCAGGACTGATGGGTGTGCTTTGAACGTGACAACTTTACAAGAGCGGCTTTTGCTACGGAAACTACGCTGCAGGGTTATTGTCAAGGACCAAAGTCGTCAGATAAAGTATGGCGGGACGTTCATCATTCTAATCTTACGACCATGCGTATGACTCATAACCTCCAGAGATAATTATCTCAACAATTGGTAAATAGTTAGTAATATTTAGATGACTAGTTATGTCAAGGTGTTCAAGATGTTGTCGGTATCCAGAATTGAAGTGGAATCTAATTAAGATTTGTTTATGTAATTCTAGTAAAGACCTTAGGTCCAAGGTTTGAACCTGTGATAGGCTACTGAACATGCTTCACATTTTCATCTGTGGGCGCCTTATAAAAGTGAAGTCAATCCTACCACATTATTCGGTTAAGATTAGCTATATATGTTGCAGGTGCTTTTGGCTGATTGCTCTCCTTTTGGCTAACAGTTCTAAATTAGGGATGGCTATGCCTAAGCCTTGAGGTATCTAACCTAACCGCTTAGCCCATGTGTCGCAAAAGGTGCATTTCAGATTGAAAGTAACAAATACCAAGTACCATAGGCGGGATTCCTGGATTAAGGGGGGAAGAGTTAACCCCACTTTTTTCTGTGGGACACACAACATTCACAATAATTAAGTCAGACTTTTTTGTCTCTTCCACACATTTTGGTTCCAATTTCCCCTCATGCCAAGTATTTTTCGAGATGCTTGGTGCCATATGCTGTTTGTAATTTATTATCTACCGAGACAAGTGAACACTGACTGCTACTTCTTCATGCTTGTCCGTTCACTTGACTATTAGTCGAGTCACTCGTTGCTAAGAATTTTAACTACTTTTTGTCCAGCTTTCTACAGATTTATTTATAGATGAACTTTTTAACATATACTTGTTTTTTCTTGGCGTTTAGTGACACTTATAGTTATTTGTATCTATAGGTTTCCCGCTGTTGTTGACAGTTCTGTACGCAGCTCTGAGGATGTCTGCAGATGATGGAACAGATCAGTAAGTACATGTTTCAAATTAACGTTTGAATTGTTTTATGTCTCTATTTGTATCTGTATCTAAATCGACGATTTACGTTTGTAGATGCTGGTTGGAAGACAGCACCTACGTTTGGATTCTCAACGGGCCTGTCTGCGGATCATTATTGGTGAGTACAACACCACACCTGTCTTTACTAATAAATAAAAACAATAACAAAAACAAAAGGCAGAAATTTATTTATCTTTTATATTTATATAAGTGTGGCAAGTGTTAATAGTTTGAGCCTAGGTATCTTTATTACTTCATTTGCGTAGAAGCTATTTTCATGTATTGTATTAAGTATTTGTCTGTATACACCGCCCTCCAGTGGGTAAAAGTGCTATAATATCATGATTGCCACACAATACTTGTAAAAAGTGTTTGAAAGAATTAGATAATTTACGTAATGTGATAATTTAGATTTCAGTTATTCGCTATATTTATGTTTGTTTCTGTCATCAGAATTTATGGAATCATATAAAAGGACAAAATCCTGAGAAACAAACATATACAAATGAACCAGTGAACAAACATATATAAAATAAACTAGTGAACAAATATATACAAATGAGCCAGTGAACAAACATATATAAAATAAACTAGTGAACAAATATATACAAATGAGCCAGTGAACAAACATATATCAAATGAACCAGTGAACAAACATATACAAATGAACCAGTGAACAAACATATATAAATGAACCAGTGAACAAACATATACAAATGAACCAGTGAACAAACATATATAAAATGATAGCTGTTCTATCGCAAACATTGTAAAAAAAACTGTCGAAACAAACATATTGACTGATACATTTGAAGTATAAATTGCATACTTTATTTATAAATTGTTTAATAATAATTAATTTACTTTGAAAATATTTTTCACCGACTATTATTCAATGTTTTCAGAGAAACAACATTAGAAACAAAATTGGGTTTTATATTTGTGCATTTATTACAAGAAATAACAAAGGTTAGACAGGTACATTTGTGCCAAGTCCAATTAATGAAATCGCTTCAGAGTATTTGTTATTATTTTTAATATGCAATACTAATATGTAAAATCACGTTTTCAGGTAAACCTTTTGTTTTTAGTGAACATTGTGAGGGTTCTGTTGACAAAGTTAAATACGACCAACAGCGGACATGGAAGATCAGGGCAAACAAAGTAAGAAACCAACATTCTCGGTTGAATATCAACAAAATAAACCAAATTTACTTTAATTTTAACAAAATGCTTTGAAATGTTTCCACCGATAACTCGAGACTGTTAGTATGCACATTTTTATGCTATAAAACTAAATTTAAAAGGGTTAAATACATTTTATTACAACGTAACGTGACAGCAACGTCGTTTGTTGTTGCGAATGAAATGCGATGTCACCGAAGATGGATCGCTTTTTGGAAGGGTATGTAACAGTTCTTTCCAACGCAAGATATTCATTCACTCAGATCATACAAATGTATTCAGATGAGAGATTTATAATTTACAAAACGATGATATTTCTAGGATTTAATGGCACTGGAAAAAAACAAGGAAATGGATCAACTTGGGACATAAGATAAGCAGTGATAAGCAGAATGCTGCGTTTTGTAACAGATGAGAATCCACGAATACATGGGTCACTGGCAAAAAAATAACGTTCACTTGACACGGGCAACAGTACGAAATATAACCAAGAAGGATCTCATCCTGGAAAAGCGACACAAGTTATTCGTATCTACACAGGTTGCATTCACGACGTATCCAGTCAACAGTCACATCAATCAAGCAGCTGAAGAATGCAATGGTTATTAATTTCAAACTGTTCCACAGGCAGACGGACACAGCACGTATGGGTTTCTGTGAATTGGACTGTTCAAGTGGGTGTTGGGAAACCCTCTTCCTCGAACAATAGATGGTTTGTTAAAAGCGAGCAAGACGGGGAATATGCGTTGGACATTACAGCCTTACACCTGAGCCTTTTGCAATAGAAATTATGCTGCATAGCTACTGTCAAAATGTCGGTCGTGAGAGGAGGCGCCATTGGCAGTAACTAGAATCCAAAAAAAATGTTTTAATATAACATTTAAACTAGAATCCCAGAATATAGAAAGAGATTTTGTTTGTTTATAATTAAGCACAAAGCTACACAATGGATTATCTGTACTCTGTCCACCACGGGTATCGAAACCCGGTTTCTAGCGTTGTAAGTCTGCAGACATACAGCTGTGCCACTGTGGGACAAGAAAGAGATCAAGATACATTTGACATACACATACTCATAAGTTGATGTGGTTACTTTGTGTAGAGGTTCATAAAAAGTCGGCTTAGAATAGACTAACCATTTGACTGCTTTAAACGGGTATAACAAAATATAGTAAAAACTTTCCAACGAAGATGTTGGAGACTTGTCTGCTGTTTACAACAATATAAATTGATGGTAATAAAAGTATTGTTCGCACGTTCTTCTATTGTTACATTTTTTGTGATATTCAAATATGTTCTGCTCCCCTGACCATGATTTTAACAGACATCACCTAAAGAAGGGTTTAGGCTCGAAACGTTATGTCAAATTAACATTTTCCTAGATTTTATTACTATTGTATCTAATGTGTTTTTTTCCCTTAAACTTTGAGTTAATTGTTTGTTTACTTGAACATTGCTGTAGGAAAGCTGTACGGGCAGTTCTTATCCTAATTCCTTTACTTGGATTGCACTACCTACTGATACCATTCAGGCCTAGTACTGGCACTTTAGCTGAAAAAGTGTATGACGTTATTTCCGCATTGTTTACTTCGTTTCAGGTAAGTTTTTAAGACAGTTATGGCTTCTACCTTAATTCAAAGAGTGAAAATAACTGTCAAAAGTGCAGTGTAGATCTTCGTGTTTTTAGAATGCTCAAAAGAATAATTGTACTTATTTCCGCTTGGCTCTGTGCAAATATTAACCAGGTTATTGACTTTATATTAAACGCACCTTTCCTATATTTACAAACTCGTCATTCGAAAATGTCATTTTTACTTTTAGTTTTGCAAAAGAAACGTTTTTCAATAATTTTCTCAGTAAAAGCAAAAACCAAAATTCATAAACATGCGAGATAATCATCACAATAAAAAATAAAACAGAAAACAATGCGTTTTTGGTAAAGTGTTTCTTCCCCTGTCGGGCTGCCCAGGCATAAACTTACGACAAAGTGAAGTTGATTTTACTTTAAAAAAACACGAACGTTTCTGAAACAAATGATTTTCATACATGAAAGGAAAATGACCAAATTTACAAAAACACTAATCCGCTGTTCAAAAAATAAATAAAGAATTTCTTACTTTGGCAAACAACTAATAAACATCGATGTTGAAAGAACTCTTAATATATAAAATATTTATGGGATTTTCAAGCCCATCTACATCACAAATGATATGTCCAATTAGACCTTTGGTGAAAAGGAAAATAAATCTACAACATACAAGATGAGGTGCCTGTCCTTTGTGTGGATGGATACTATGATAAATAACACAAAATCCCTATCTTTCACACAAGTTATTTATAATATAACATATTATTACACTATTCATTATTACCTCACCAAAAGTTATGTATAAGTTTTAAGGACTCAATATGTATGTACTTAAAACATGGTATACACTGTGCGATGGTCAGGGTGACTTTGTAGGAAGAGGTATTAACAAAAGTAATGGCGGCAGTTGAGCTTTCTGTTACCCGTTTTCATATTCAGATCTTAATGTCCTTCCACAGTGTTTCGCCTGATTAATTATTTGACAGTCATTAGCCACAAAAGTGTTTTACGGGCCGAAGTTGAAAGGTCACGGGTCAAAGAAGGAAGTGGGTATAACTCAAGAAACGGCTCTGCGTATCAGCCTTATTGTGGTTGTTGGAGTAGAAACTTCAGCTGAGTTTATGTATTACTGTAATAGTGACAGCAATTTTTTTCGTACATTCCCCCACAGAGAGTGCTAGCGCACTCTCTGAGATATAAGACGTTTTTGTGCCCTCCTCTCACAGTGTGTATGTTATGTCATAGAAAATTTAATAAAGTTTTTGTTGTTGTACGGATGTGGCGTCATCTGTGAACGTAGTTATCGTTAATTTACACCAGAGATAATAAATGCTCAATAACAACAATAATGGGGGTTGTGACACAACCACTAACATGCTCCTGTTCCAAACTATCATCCCACAAAGTTTGGTTGAGGTTGGCCCAGCAACCTAGGAGTAGTTAGATAACGGACAAACAGACAGACACACAGATTGTGGGTGTGTGTTATTTTCATATAATAGATAGATAGATAGATATGTAATATTGATGTATATGTTCGATATTATATTGTCACATTGGAAGTATTTAATAAAACTATTATTACTTTGGTAATTAACTAACTAATTAACACTTATGATGAGAGAAGTCTTAATCTATGTGTTCATCATCTGATTATATTTTTTCTTCGGATGTGCTGACAAAAAGAGAATGAAAACAGCCTCTAACTGTATAGACCAAGTTTAGTTTCAAGAAGGACATCCATAAACATTTGAAAATTTAGGAAACGTGCATATATCATGCTGAAACTGTTAGTTTTGAGAGCTACTAAGTTTTCGCATGAACAATACATTATCTTTAAAATTATTAAAACAACATTTGAGTAAGTGATGAGATATTTAAACCTGTTGTACTTGTGTTTGTCATAAGATTCATGTCTTAAAACTTGCATAGAATTTTTGCATTCATTTTTACCTTCATATCAATGAATTTGTACGAAAAATATAAACTTTAGTTTCGACGTAAGAATATACACATTTTTTGAACAATCCTTTGTAATTTGAAAAAAGTACCTAAAATAATTGTTTTAACAATAGAACTATTGAGGAAATTTATATAATTTTTTTATATAATATTATATTATATTATATAATTTATATTATATTTATATAATAGTAGTAAAATGAAAATATTGTTTTCATTTTCACATTTACTAATATAAAGTTTCTTTGTTGGTTAACATGTGTATTACCAAGTCTTACCAACGAACATTGTAAATCTGTTTTTACGTTGTGGTTCTAATTATATGCTAGAAAAAAATGTTTTAGCATATTTACTAGTAGTAAACGTTTTATGTTCGGTAATATTACAATGGCAATGATAAAACTAAACTCTGTGGTTAAGAGTGGCGTGTTAGAACGTCACATTTTAGTGATAGCAAAACTAACTATGGAGAATTTTGTAAATCAAACGATATATATATATACATGTATATACATATTTTTTAGGGCTTATGTGTGGCACTCGTGTTTTGTTTCTGTAACAATGAGGTAAGTGATTGTTAGACCTAAGTTATATTCCATTATAGACATCGTCAGTTTAGCAGGTCATATACACCTAACAGGAATTGTGAATACTATTGAGCTAAACAACAACACTTCCGCTGTGCATCGAGTTTTGAAACATACGCTCTTACCTCAGTATTATTTAAATTATTCAATATAATGTGTTAGTACTAAAACATTCGAATATACCAAAGCCAGTAGTCATTAGCTACATAGGTTCAAAAGCTTCTACATGAAATATATGCCAAAACTATCAGAACCGCAGCCATGTATACTGTGGCCCAGGACAAGTCCTTTGATAAGTGATTTTCTTTACATTTTGCAATAGAAGATGTAGTGGTGGTGTGCTCATCTTTTGGTTAAAAGCTGTTTTTCTTAACTTGAGGTAGGTATAACATCACATTCGCTTAGAAAATGGTTGGTAATACTACTGGTGTTGTAGGTTTAGACAATAGTTGGTAATACTACTGTTGTTGTAGGTTTAGACAATGGTTGGTAATACTACTGGTGTTGTAGGGTTAGACAGAAAGTTCTTGTCCGAGCAGTAAAGGGTGTCAATACTTGCCGTCAGATCAGCAATCTAAAATTACCAGCAACAAGTGATAGATACTGTGACAAGCTCTCTGGAAAATTGAAGGAATGAAAGTCGTATTTGGCTACTGGCTTGGTGGGGGGTCACAGTTGACAGCTTGCACAAAAGAGCTTAGTGGTCAGCCCAGATCTGTCAGAGATAGGTGAGTTTGGTATATGCCAGTAAAAGTACAAGGGTGGAAGGCCAAGTTCCTGTTAGACCAAGGAGTGGTGAGAACCCTGGACCCAGCGACCTTTTAAGCCCTCTAAAAGAGACCATTACTATAGCCAATGAATACTGACTTCATTTTGGCAAATGGCAAAACCACATGTTAGAGAAAAAGTGGATCCATGGCTCAGTCTAAGAGGTCTCAACCACAAAATGAAAGTAGTCATTTCTGATCTTGGAACTGGAATTGTCATCCTCAGGATGAACAAATTATGGAATTTGTTTATTAGTTTTGACTATGCAATGGATAAGCTGATGTTCTGTGGAAAATTCTTCTAATGTTGCTCAGATCAATGTAAGGAAATGTGGACTCCACAAGTATATACAGCAAAAGGATTATAGTACCTTCATGTACAAAGATGGTGCTCTGTGTAACAATCCGAGCAAAGTATGTGCATCAGTGGTCATAGAAACCACACATGAAATAAACTGCTTTCTGTTCTAAAAGCAGGCAGCATTACCTCGAGCAGTGATTCATCCAACAAGGAATGCAGTCCTGGCGTTGTTTTGTAACTATGAATGATCAGCTATTCAGTTGGACACTTGGATGCTTATAGGCACAGTGAGTGAAATGAAAATAACTGATGCTAGCGGTAAAGCTAGGGTTGCAACTATCACACCATAACCGAAGGCAAATACAAGGCTAGTAACACACTTGAAGTTGGTTTATGTTTGTGCTAATAGTTTAGCTCCAACCATGCCCTTTTCAGCCATGGTGAAAGTTGACCATGAAAGAGATGACTCCATCAAAAAACGGATGCCAAAGTTAATGCTTCAGGAACTTCAGGATGAGCAACTGAAGAACCCTGGCCTAGTGTGGTTGTTCTTTCCTGTCCAGTAAAGTAAAGTCCGACCAACACTAGTAGAAAAGCATAGCATGGATGCGTGAAACCTGTGGCCTCTGCATGAGCAGTTAAAAGTGCAAGATGTGCTGTGTTATTGTTATCAACCCACGATGCATGGTGTTCTAACAGCGTTGCAGCTAGTGGTCCCAAATGCTTTGCGGCAAGAGATGCTTCAGGCTTTGCTCAACACAAAGAATGGAAGGCACTAAGGTGTAACCCACACTTGTGCTAACATTTTCTGGTGGTTCTATTGGCCATGAGTGAGTAGAGATGTTCAGCAAAGGAAACTGGCCGAGATGGGATAAACTCCTACAGATACGTTTTATGTCTCCTTTGCAGAAGCTAGCCCTAAATATTGCTTGTCCACTCCCAGAGACTGGTATGGGTCATTGCCACATATTCTTTGTCATCAACTATTTCGCAAAGTGGGGCAAAACTTATCCTTTGGTATCAATGCCATCACAGACCATCGTGGATGTGTTAGCAGAGAACTGAGAAGCTCGATTTGGAGTACCCAAATAAATCTACATTGACCTAGGAGCTAACTTCAATTTCCCAACTCTTTGCTGAATTGTGTTAGATGTGGTGAAGAGTCATACTTCAACTTATCATACACAGTCTGATGGTTTGGGAGAACGGGTAATACAGATTGCCAAGCAGATTTTTGTAAAGTTTGTTAATCCCAACAGAATTGATTGGGATGGACACTTGACAAATGTAATGATGGCAAATGGAGCAGCAGAACAGGGATCAACAGGTTATTCACTGAACGTGCTCATGTTCATATTTCAAGTGTTAATTTGTATTGATGAGATATATGGTCCTCTACCATGAGTAGAAGTCCCTCATTTTCCCTAGGACTATGCAGACTGGCTGAGATTGATGATGGATGATGCACACGAATTTTCCCAACAACAATTCGGGAAGACAGCATGCCAACAGAAGTGCTAAAACTGGAGAGTAAAGGGACAGATGTTCCAATGCAATAACTGGGTGTGGTTGGGATATATTCCTTCTGCATGAAAGCAACTTGGATCTGGCTGAATTGGTCCATAACCAATTCACTCATTAGTTAGGCCTCTAATGTATGAACTACAGTGGGTGCAAGACATACAAAAGTGTATGGGACATGTTGATAAGCTGTTACCATACAGCACAGAAAAGCCTTTAGTGCACTGACTTGACCAGAATTCTAAAGAGGAAACTGATGAGCCAGATAAGGATGAGGACATCATTGTCAAGTCATCCCAACTTGCCTCATGATGGAGAGGAAACTGTAGATTTATTTGGTGGTCTTATAAACCAGATGAGTAGTTGCTGTAAATAGATGCAACTATTAACTCTGTCTAGCAGACGACACGCCAACGTCAGTTCACGATCGATATGGGTAGTATTGATCATCAAAGCGAGAATGATCATTAGGTCAAGCACCTGATTATTGAAATAAAGTACCATTCCTTGCTTTTCAAGCAATAATGTGATGCTCACTGTAATGTATGTTCTACTTTGTGTGATTTCTACCTGATAACAAGCTAAAACAGTCATTTGTTTATGCAACTAATGATTAAAGTAAAATAGGATTCGTTGCTTTCTGAGCCATTGGGGCATAGAAGTCCGGTAGAATGCACGAACTACATTTTATGTCTACAACTCAATTATTTACAGTTAAGACAGTCGTTGATATGTGTGACCATAAACTGAAAGAAAGTAGTATTCCTTGCTTTCCAAGTTATCAAGTGATATTGAGATACAACGTATGTACTACAATGTAAAATTATTACTCGATTATCGACACTTAGGCAGGGGTGAATTTTTCATAGAAAAGACAACAATAACAAAGAGACTCGTACTATAGCAAGAAAGGGAAGACAGTTTTACCTGGGGTTTTAAAGAACATTGTTATATCTGGTGGTTCCGTTGTTGTTTGTTATTAAGCACAAAGCTACACAAAGGGCTATCTGAGCTCTGCTTACCACGAGTATCGAAACCCAGTTTCTAGTGGTATAAGTCCGCAGACATACCACTGTGCCACTGGGGGGCCTGGTTGGTTCTAAGACAGTTTTATCTGGTGTTTATTATAAGTATAGTGCAGAGATATTTTTGATCGTGTTTAAATGTTAATGAACGGGTGAAAATTTCAGTAGTAAATCAAATTCACAGGTAATGGCTTAGGTATGATAATAAATATATGTACATCGTGTACCCTGTGATTTATTTCGTTGTGAATGGAATATTTTCAATCACGCAGATTGAAATTTTCAAATAAGCAAACAGTAAAGTTGTTTCATTACAAAATATAGTTTATAAGCTTGAAAATGCAGGTTGTACACGTAATGTGGGAGAGGGGTGGCATGATGTACGACCTATGTGATTAAACCTTGTAATTCATGTATAGCAGTTACACAAGTTGTAAGTGGATGAACGTCCCCAAGAAAACATGAAAACATTGCCAAAGACTAGTAGTCAAAGGTATGGCAGCTTGATTGTGTAGGGCCCAAGCAGTCGTGATCCCCATTCTTTCCTACTGGAATTGTTCTCTCTCTACATGACAACCAGATTGTAGGCTAGGGATAAGGCCAAACTGGAGAGTTTGACGTGTTTGTTCCCGCTGTCTAGGAGGGAAGAAATATCTCAGGTGGCTGGTTGAATGAAAACCCAAGGAATACAAGGGGATTAGGAAGTCCTCAGGTTCTTTTGGCACGTTTTCTTTGGGCGAGGATGGGCGTGAGTACACATTAAACCTGTAGACATGTTGCTTTAGCAGTATGCAGTTCCTGGTCATAACCAAGTGTTATGACCCCCTTACCCCACACACTTAGTTGAACCTTTAGCTAGTTAGATCTCAGGAAAACTTTGAATTTGAATCCAGATTTTCAGCACTTAAGGCCAAGTTCTAACTATGACCAGTCTTTTGTTCTCAACTTTCTGACTTGACCAGTTGTTATTCCAGTTGTAATTCCCGTTTTTCTTTCCCCGATCTACTATGGATTCCTCATTGATTTATGAAGCTTCAAAACTGTTCCACGGGTCTGGCATGGCCTGGTGGTTAAGGTGCTCGACTCATAATATGAGGGCAGCGGGTTCGACTCCTAGTCAGAGAAAATGCTCGCCCTTTCAGCCTTAGGAGCATTATAATGTGACTGTTATCCCACTATTCGTTGGTAAAAGAGTAGCCCATGAGTTGGAGGTGGGTGATGTTGAGTAGCTGCCTTTCCTATAGTCTACCACTGCTAAATTATGAATGGCTAGTGCAGATAGCCCTCGTGTGACTTTGCGCGAAATTCAAAACAAACCAAATCCAAGACTTCCAGTGAGGGGCATCGTCACAAAGACTGCTTGAA